GAATTGCGATCAATGATTTTCAATGTGAGTACTTGTAATTCAGTTCTACAATTGTTGCCTTAAATCTTCACAGCGCAAAGAGGCAGCAAAATATTCTGGACCAAACACTGCTTGGCAGTCCCCCTCGCGAAGCTCGAGCCCACCGTGATCCAAGGGCCTGCGAAGGTTGACAAGGCTGTTACAGTACGTGTGATCTTCTGATTTCGTCGTCTCGAGGTTGAATTTTGTCAGCGCAAAATTGCCGTTTGTACACGCTGCAACAAGATAATGTACCCAGGCCCGGAGAAAGCACCCGAAAATCACAAGAAGGGGTGCTGCTCTGATGGCTTCAAGCAGAGATACGCCAATGGCGAACTGCTTCCTCCTTGGCCACAGCCTGCCGGGATCTTTACCAATGCTTCCGAGTTCCACCCATTCGCATTCCTCGCAAATATCCGGGATCTGTACGAGAAGGTTGGCGTGGAAGGAGGCGGCAGCAATATCAGTATCGAAGGTGAAGCATTTCCGAGGCTCCAAATGCCAGGACGTATCGCAACAGTGGATGGTGCGGTCCTTTTCAAACTCTTCGAAGGATTTACCATTCCCGCAGAAGACCGAGTCCCTGATACCCTTTTTGTTGAACATGGTGGTGCTCGTTACCTTCGTATCGACGCTTTAAGTGATACCCATGTGTCCGAGTAGGATCCAATGTACCGGCCGTCGTCTCATAATCTACATTTAACTCCCTGCACACAAGTCCGTACAAAATTCGACATGGCCGATGATACCACTGCGAGGATGACATACCTGCATGCGAGACGGCCAGCACCCAGTACGTGCGAATTCACGTAGGCAGTATTGATGTCGAGCATGCTCCGTGTGCATCTTGATCCTGACCCAATGGACCCCGCGATGGCGGGGCGAATACCTTTAGATGCATGGAAAAGGTTGGTAAGCGAATTCAAGGAAACGAAGAGAAAGAGGAATAAGAACGCGAGACTTGGGGATAACAGTAGAATGTATTGAATAAAATTGAAAGACTCACCAAGGACTGCATGAAACACGATGTAGCATCGAAGTCGTGGGGACACAAGAGATGCTACCATTAGTCGCGTCAACCACGCCCGCTTCCCGCATTATTTCTGTTCCATGCACAAGTACTGTAAGTAATCGAGACGACGGCGGCAGATTATATTTGGAACCAGAGCCGAAACTCAAAACTGCTCACGCCTATGTACCCTAACCGAACGTCAAAAAAATCAGTTGACTAGCCCGCTGAAAGGATTTCAGAAAGCTTCATGATCCAACGCGTGCGCAGAAAAAACATTGGTTTTGTTGCCCTGTGCGGGCGGAGGGAGTCGAACCCTCTTGACTGCAAGACTAAATGAAACCCCACTTCCGAATGCTTCGCAGTTGTGTATTACTGCTACACTACACCCGCTTCCCACCTTCTTTTGGTTCCAGGCACAAGTAAGCAAGTCATACGAGACGACGGGGGTAGATTGAAAACCAGAGTTGAAGCTTGAACTTAACTGCTCGCGCATTCCATAATCGAACATCGAAAAATCATTTGACTAGCCCGCTGGAAGGGTAACAGACTGATTCATACTCAGACAGCGCGAGTGATGAAAAAAGTCAACCGAAATCATGGGAACTGCGGGCGGAGGGAGTCGAACCCTTTTAACTGCAAGATATATTTGCAACGTCATTTCTCATGCTTTGCAGTTGTGTACCGCACACCACACCCGCTTTCTCTTTTATTTTGGATCCCTACCATAGATGCTTGTGCAGATTTGAATCGGGTTGATTACATAAAAACTCCAGTAAATTGCCGCTAGAAATCGATTGGTTCCACGTATGAGTAGTAATGGAATCGACGCGGCAGCCCAATATTGAGAACCAAAGTCGAGACTCAAAACTACCTTAACCGAACTTCAAAAAAAACCTATTTGACTATATTAGGCCGTTGAAAGGATAACATAATTTACAGAAAGCTTCATGATCCAACGCGTGCGCAGAAAAATCATTGATTTTGTTGCCCTGTGCGGGCGCAGGGAGTCGAACCCTCTTGACTGCAAGATTGAGCATGGTCAATTTTGAAATGTTTCGCAGTTCTGTACCGCACACCGCGCCCGCTTCCCCTCTCCCTTCTCTTCCTCCTGTAGTATGAGCTCATCGAAGAAAATATTGCGGGATGGGATATGGATCAACACTCGTTCGTGGCGGCATACTACTCAGATTACCCGAAATCTCCCCCCAAAAGAAAGAATTCATCAATCTCGTCTGCGCACCGTTACATCCTCGAAAGTATGAAAGCGAGAAGCGGAAGTTTGTGTCATCATATCAGTTCCTCATGAAAGCAATTTCGCGTGCAAAGGCAACGGCAGTTACAGGCCCGGGTACGGTACGGCAAGACGTCTGCAACGGTACGACGACGACAGCACGAAGACAACAACAGCTACTGCCACAAAAACGACCAACAGCAACTACAACAACTACACAATGCCAACATCATCAACAACAACGGAAAAACAGCGAACGGTATGTACTACTACTATGCAAGAGGTGGGATGGGATGGGGTATGGATGTACGATGTACGATGAACGATGAAATAGAGTCAGGTCCGTGAAGGGGCAGGTCAGAGGGTCCTTGTCCGTGTCCGAAGTCGCCATCGCGAGGCGAGAAGAAAGAGGTCCACGCGGCGAGACGCGATTTCTTTTACCCATCGAGGAAATAAATGCATGATCGAGTCCGGGTGGGAGGAGATCAAAACGCGAACGCCCCCGCCACCAGCCCAACAAGCACATAAGCCGCGGAGGGGAAGCGGAGGCGGAGGGCGGGCGCGCCGCTCGTGGAGGGGGAAGTCGAGGGCGCCGAGCCCGAGGCGGAGGCGGAACCCGCGGAGGATGGAGGGGCGGTGCTGGAGCGAAATTCGTCAGTTCATCATCGGAGACAGATTGAGGAAAATGGAGACTCACGCAGACGACTTCGCCCCGCTCGCCGTCCCCGTCCCACTTGCCCCTGTTGTACTCGCCCCTACCCCACTCGCCCCCGTGGCGGTTGAAGAGGCGGGGGAAGAGGCGGAGCTGGGCGCGGCGGCGATGGCAAAGTCGTTGCTGGTGGCGAAGACGTCGTTGATGTTGGTGACGTTGACGAAGGTGAGGGTGTAGCCGTCCCTGGCGGTCCGCGCACATTAGTTTGACGTGGATTCGAAGATACGATACGGAGGATGGAGGGAGGGAGGAGAAAAGACGCACTGCGCAGGCACGGGCGGGATGGTGACGGTGATGTTATCGTTCGCGGGGTTGACGTTGTTCGCGATCGCGAACTGGGAGTTCTGCGGGGCGCACACACACACTCTTAGCTCACTGCTCTCCTAGTAGTAAAGAAGATAAGGAAAAAGAGAAGGACGCACGAAGGACGGGTGGTTCAGCTCGATGGAGAACACGCTACGGGCGCGAGGGGAGCGGAGTTAGCCGGGGGCACGAGGCGTGGGGAGGGCGACGCACGGGTCGGAGGAGGTGCTGCTCCAGGTGATGCTCGTCGTCTCGGTGGAGGTGACGGAGCCCGGGGTGTTGATTGTCAGCGCGAGCGCGGACGAGGCGCTCAGAGTCAGCGCGAGGGCGAAGCTGGTGTGCATACGCATACCCCCGTCAACGAGACTCGGCCCGAATGTTGAAATGCAACTGACCTGAGTTTCGTGAACATGGCGGGCGGACAAGGCAGGTGGGGCTAGGGAGGAGGGAGGGAGTTAGTGAGAGGAGAATGAGGGCGGTGGGAGAGCGGTGGAGCGTGGAAGCGGGCTAAATAAATAGCAGATAGAAAAAAGGAAATCAAACACAACAAAACGAGCCAACCACGCGGGCGGCTCTCACGATCGCGACGTCATCTAAAATGTTCCAGCCCATTTGCGCTTTTTTTATCACAAAACACATGCCCCGGCGTGCGTGCGAGTTTCAGAGGGATGAACCATGAAAACCGCGTTTATTGTGCGCTTTTTTTGCGCGCTGGTGCAGCGAGGAACCGGCGTGGATGGACGCCAAGGAGTGGAGCGGCGTTTTAGAGAAATCAACCAAGGAAATTTCAACACTGATGCCATCAGCTCGGGAGTTTTGGGCATCATCCATCAACCGGGACCAGATTGACCGCTTGGACTTGGCTTGGACACCTTGTCTTGTCTCGCCACGTCATGATCCAGTCAGTCGTGTCTCTGTCTGCCACCCAGCTGGCCATGGAGCGCAAACTCGTCGTGTCTATTTGAACCAGTCACGCCTGGGAGAAGCCAGCCTTCTCGCCCCCTTCTAGACCCCGGGCTCGGATCTTCTCGCGCTGGGCTTCTCGCCTCGGATCATCGACGCCTCTCCAAACCGTAGCCGACTGAGACGTGGCCATGGCTTGCCTGTTGTGTGCAGGCATAGCGATGCAATTGTAGGTATGCATAACTTAGCAAGCCCGGGTTCGACTCCCAGCCTCCGATTTGGATCGCTGCACATATGTACCCCCTTTTTCTTTCCAAAGTTCCAAACCGGCCCCCGTGTGGACTTTTCTTCACCCCGTTGTCCGTCGTCCGTGCCCGCACACGCATACGTATACAAGGCTCGAGTCTTCCAAGGCTTACCGTGAATCATCCAACCTCCGCCGGTGCGTCGTCGATTCTCAATCCCGCAAATCACTCTCATATGCAGGTATACAGAGTACCTAAGAACTCGGATATGGTGTATGGCGCACACCTGCCCTTAATACCGGATACATTCCCCCAGTCGCAGGAAGCCCGGGTTCGACTCCCGGCGTTCGAATATACGAACCGGCTTGGGAAAGGTTTTTTCTCCTAATTGCGAATCCCTCGCTGTGGAACGACTACTTGCTCGCATATACAGGGCTCAAGTCTGTCTGTATAGGTACAAACTCTCGTGAACTCCTGAACCTCCGCGTTTGTCCTCGAGTGCGTCGATTCGCAATCCCAGTAAGCCACGCACCGAAATCACTCACATATATTCAGGCTCACAGAGTACCCCAGAAATCGGACGTGGTGCACGGTGCACGCCTGCCTCACCTATATTCGGTACACCCACAAATTTGTAGGCAGGAATCCCGGGTTCGACTCCCGGCGTTCGAATGTTGTATTCTCCTGGTATTTTTATCCAATGCTATTCGTATCCTTTTGTTTTTTTTTGGTTTTTTGGTTCGCTGCGGGGCGAACACTGACTCAATTATACAGGGCTCAATTATAGGCAACCACTGTCGTGCCCCTGGACTTCCGCAGCGATTACGTTCTGGTGCATCGATTCTCATTCCAGGCAGCGCTAAAATCACTCTCATATATTCAGGCTCACAAAGTACCCCAGAAATCGGACGTGGTGCGCGGTGCACGCCTGCATCAGTTTCAAAGAGTTGTCGGCAGGGAAGTCCGGGTTCGACTCCCGGCATCCGAATAGCCAGGTTTTATGCCCCTTTTTCAAACAATGCTCTTCGTACCCTTGAAATTTTGTGTTTTGCTGCGGGGGAGTACTTTCTCCCTCTTACAGAACTCAAATCTGCATATGCAGGACTCGAACGGGAGTATGGGCCCGTGAACTCAGCCTCCGCCGTGTTTATGTTCTGGTGCGTCGGTTCTCACTGCCGGTGCGCGTTGAACTCACTCTCATGTATACCAGTTCGTGATGTACCCGAGGACTCGGATGTGGTGTACGGTGCACGTCTGCCTTGAATGAGTGAATCCTTCTATGTCAGGATCAAGCAAGAAGCCCGAGTTCGACTCCCGGCGTCCGAATAGCAGCGTTCGTCACGGAATTTTTATTCGATGCTATTCGTGTCCTTCCAATTTATGTTTCGATGCGGGGAAGTGGTCACTGCGTTCAGCCATGCCCTAGACAGCGACCGGTCTAGCTCATAGTAGCCGGATCTATTTCGGGCTATCTCCGTCTAAGGCTCCAGACCGTGATGGCCCAAAGCACTTAGACACCCGTCCTGCGTAGCGCGAAGGAGGCCCGCGTCGCTCAAATAGGCGGGTCATGTCTAGGGCAGCCTACCTCACCTCGCCCGCATCTAGTACTACCTAGCTCTGTATCTTTGCCCGTTCCCTTGACTCATCTCCCCCTCATCCGGCGACCCTCAAGTTCTTGCACTGCCCGTATGACTGGGATTAGGCCTCTTCGAGGCGGGTGCTGAACCTTTAGGTGGATGCACCAGTGAACTGTCTGCTCGCCTCTTGCTTCTGATGATGAAACCTTAATTATAATGTGCTATTACTATAATGTGTTACTACAAGATACAAGATAAATACTTGGGCTCATAACATAACAAAGACAGTAGGTGTGGACAGGGATATTATCATAAATACTCAGCCTCGTCTGAGGGAGAACAACAAGAATGACTCGGGCCTTGATAGTGGATAGAACAATGAATTCCCCATATCATGTATATGGACATGGTAACACTGAGCCCCCACAACTTAGATGCGCGAAGCTCCGGTGAAGAACAAAAGTGAGGCTTAAACCAGTAAACATGATATATATCCTGCTGTGAATTTTTTTCTGAACCAGGAAGATATTTCCTAGACATTAATGAGAACCATAATAGTTCCCCTGAATATTCCTAAGTTCATTGGATGTGGGGTACCAGAGTGGGAGTCCCCAAGATTATGTTTGTTTGATGCTTGGTTACTCTGATAGATCTGCAAAACTGGGGTGCATTGGTACCGAAAAAAAATGTCTGAACAAGGAACACATTTCTGGACATCAATAAGCATCCTATAAGCTCCCCTGGATATTCCTGGGTCGATTCAATGGGGATTACCAAAGTGGGAGTCCCCGAGGTTCTGTTTTTTTTTTTTTTTTTTTTTAATTCTGATAGATCTGTAAAACTGGCTGTACCATAAAAAAAAAAGAATTGAACCAGTAACACATTTCTGCATGTCCCTGATAGTCCTATTAGCTCCCCAGAATATTCCTGAGTTGATTTGACAGGGGGTACCAGAGCAGGAGTCCTTGAGATTCTGCTTGCAAAACTGGAATCCATTTGTACGGAAAAAAAAAATCTGAATCAGTCCCCAAGTTAGTAGGCTCTACCAGGAAGCACGCTACACTTGTTATGCAGCAAGAACCAACATGGAGACCAGGAGTAGCAAGCAAAGTTTTCGCCGGAGACTAGGAAATATTAGCCAATCACTCTCTGCGTCCGAACAACGTCCGAATTTCGGATGTTGTCCGAAAGTCCCACGTCAACGGATACTGACCCGAACATCAAGCAGAAATGACTAATGACCAAAATTGAACCTGAGAGAATTGCATTGTCTTCTATGAATGAAATGAGCTAGCATGCAGGAATTCGAAGCAGAAGGAAGATTGGAAAAATATGATTCGATTTTCATTGCTTATTTTCTCTTTCCTCATTTGCTTTTCAATTTTTTCTTGTGATGACCAATTCTTCATGACAAACAGATCAAAAACTGATTCGCAAAATCGATGTTCTCCTGGGCAGCCAAACCTAAAGGTTCAGCAATAATATGACCCTGAGCAACTCAGCAAACCCTGAGCATGTCTCTGCGCTCACTGAATCGGGCAAGCCGTCCTTTCTTTGGTCTCGCATAGGTAGACTTTGTGATTCATGTCAAATTCAGAATGGCCCCACTGCTATCTTTTCCTGAACGCCCACTGCACTCAAGTCCGGCATAGCAACGGCATAGACCGGTATAGACTGGCCTACACGTGGCGTGACTATGTGACTTAGACGCATGTGGCGGTCTAGCCCCGCCGAGTGCTGTCTATGGCTCTAGACATGACAGCTGTCTAGGACCCGGCTGAACGCAGTGGGTGGTGTGGAAGGCCATGAACTCCTCAGTCTCAGCCTCCCCCGTGTTGACATTCTGGTGCGTCGATTCTCGTTCCCGGTACGCGTTGAATTCCTTCTCATACATCTAGGTACACAACGTACTCAAAGAATTGGACGTGGCGTATGGTGCACAGTGTTGTGCGTTATGTGACTTCAAGCGTGAGGTATGACGGTGTTTATCGGACAAAAATGTGATGTCACTGGATTGCATTCAATGCAATTGTTTTCCGGCGATGTGATTCGATGCAGATCAGTTATATTCACTGTATAATGATGCATTTCGGTGTACTTGACAGTGCAATATGGTGAATTCCAACTTGGTGCTCAATTTCGTGCTTTGCATCTAATTGCAATGCATTGCTTTGCTTTGCATCGGGACACCCATCTGCTACAGGTGCTCCAGAACCTGACCATTGCGCATTCACTGCATCAATGTACTTCTGTAATGCAATGGCATTGGTTGATTGTAGTCTCCCAGAGGCAGCCGTGTAACCGTTGAACCTTTGCAACCTCAGGATACAGTATACAGATATCCTAAGGAACGAAGGTTTGTCAACATCTGGACATCGAGCTACGCGTCCATGCACGTGTCCGTGCCAAGCTATATTATTTTCTGATCACGCTTTTTTCCTCTCACTGGTTCTTACGACGAACGACAGTGAGAGCTTGTATTGACTCTGTCATACAGTTCTCCACGGTTCACAGGTTATAGGGCCCCGAACCGCGCTATATCCACGCGCAACCAGTCAACCAGCCCTTCTAGATGTCGGGCGCGAAATTTCAGTCTTTCGATGCTCTTGCATATGAGACCGAAGGATCCACGGATACATGGCCAACGTGGGAGGCCCAGTGTAAATCCGCCCTCGTCCTCTCGAACTTGTGGGGATACATCTATGGCCGTGGGATCACCACGCCGCCGGAGACGATTCTTGATACGTCAACGCCACCGGCACCTATCACTAACCCCAAATACGAGGAATGGCTCGACGAGAACCTCATTGTTCTGTCGTGCATTCGTTTGCGCATCGGGACTACAGATTTGCGTCTCATCAAGGACGAAGTCATTGCCAAAAAGGCATGGGAGGTGCTCAAGGCTGCGCATCAGCCTTCCGGAGCACTGTCACAGCTTACTATCCTTCAACAAGCTCTTGCCTGCCGATACTCCCGCGACGTTCCCCTTGTGCAGACGACCGACAAGTTGGACATTCTCATAGACTCCTTCTTTGCTATCAAACCACCCACGGAGGACGAATGGAGATGCATTATCTACCTCAACGCGATGACTGCGGCCGAATTCAAAGATGCCCGTTCATCCCTCGATACACTTCTCAGTGCCGGGAAACTGTCATCAGCCGCCGTTAGCGCCCGAATTAAACACGAGCAAGTCCGAATCGACGCAGAAAATGCTGAGGTCGCTAAAAACGAAGCATCATTCGCGGCGTTCACCAAGCAGTATGAGGCACAGGGTGCATCAGCAAAGTCTTCTCCAAATGGGCAAGGCCCATGCGCGAACCCACAATGCAAGGGCCGGGCAAAGCAGTACCATGATTGGGATCACTGCTACGGCCCGGGTGGACGCATAAAACCTCCAAAAGGGAAGGCGAGGAAAGGAGGAGCACGGAAAGAGAAAGCCAAGGTTGCTGTCGAGAGTTCCGACGAGTCGGATGAGCAGGCTGCATTTGCTGAAGACTCGAGCGGCGGATACAGATCTTTCTTCGCGGATGCGGACTCTTCCCATGTCAATGTCCCCGCTGATCGTGATACCTCATCTGTGGATTGGTCCAGAAATACCACGGATCACGCTCTTGCTGCACTGATCAAAGCCATTGTCCTCTACCTGGATACCGGTGCAACGAGCTCGATCTGCCCTATCCTCAAATACTTCACCAAAATCACCCCATGCAATCGCACCATATCCGGTGTTGGCGGGTCTTCGATCAAGGCTGTCGGTATCGGAGAAGTACGAGTGTGCCTTGGCAAAGGACGCCACTTTATCTTGAAGGACGTACTCTATTGTCCGCATGCCGCCATCACCCTGATCTCCGTCGGGAAACTCTGCGATGACGGGCACAAGGCCATATTCATCGACAAGGGCTGCTCCATTAAACGACTGTCCGGCAAAGTTATCGCCACCGGTACTCGTTCGGAAGCAGGGCTGTACACCCTCAACTGCGAAACACCCATATTCTCACTGACGGATCGTGCAAGCGAAACATCCTTCGATGCCATGGCAAACGTAGCCATCAAAGCTCGTCCTACACTCAAAACCCTGCATCTGCGACTGGGACACGTCAACATCGAGACTGTCCTCGAGATGGCCCGTGGCTCAGCAGTAACCGGTATGGACGCGGACTTGTCACACATCCCAGCCAAATGTGCTGACTGCGTTCTCGGGAAACAGAAGAAGAAGCCCGTGCCCAAGAAGCGTAAAGGGCCGCGCTCGACGAGGAAGTTGCAGAAGGTGTTTGCTGATCTGGCAGGACCGCAGGCAGTTGCTGCGCGAGGCGGATACTTGTATACCCTCCAATTGATCGATGACTATTCGCATGAGCAATGGACCATTCTCCTTAAACGAAAATCCGATGCAGCGCAGCAACTCAAAGAATGGCAAGCCATTGTCGAAGCCGAATCCGGCGAGAAAGTTGGCATATTCCGAGTCGATGTCGGGACAGAATTTGATTCAGCGGGTTTTATTCGCTACCTGCGAGAACATGGGACTAAAAAGGAGACATCTGCTCCCTATTCTTCGGCGCAGATGGGTCTCATTGAGCGTACACATCACACTCTGATGAGTCGTACCCTGGCCGCCCTCTCTTCAGCGAAACTCCCTCGCAATATGTGGGGTGAGATGATGCTCACCGAGACATACATCAAGAACCGCACACTCACGAGCGCGTTCCGGCATCCTGATCAAACACCACATGAACGGTGGACTGGAAATAAGCCGGACCTGTCGCATATGCGAGAGGTCGGCTGCCGCGCATTTGTATTGAAGCTACCGAAGACGAAGAATCCAAAAATCTTCAATCGCTCTGTCGAATGTGTCATGGTGGGGTACTCCCCGTCATTGACAGACACGTACCGTTGCTATGACAGGACAACGGGACGCATGCACATCACCCGCAACGTTGAGTTCATCGAGTCGCAGGATGAGATGCCGAGACCGTTGGCAGCTGCCCGAACGGTCACGAAAGCCCCAACGCCGGAGCCGCTTGACACGCTAGATGTCCGCGCAGGCCCACTGGATGCAGCTGATCAGCCCCCGCTCCTGGATCCATATGAGCAGGAACCAGAAAGTGAGGAGGAGCGTGATGGGCACGCACCGAATCCTATCCTCGAAGCACGACGTCCGGTACGCACACGCAAAGGCCGTGGTGACGATGGCGCCTTCCCCGACATCCGAAAAGATGCTGCCGTAGCAGATGCACGGGCAGCCGAGGCTCGGGCGAAAGAGCGGCGCGCAGATGCCAAGGCGCGAAAAGCGACCGTTGAGGAGATCAACGAGGAGCAAGCAGAGGATGACCGAGCTGAGGAGCTAGCAGCCCATGCTGCAGACGACGCCGATTACGAGTATTGGGCCTTCAGTGCGACTCCTGGATCCGATGATGAGCCGAAGACATGGAAACAAGCACAAAACTCACCCTTCTCAGAGGAATGGCGTGAGGCGTACCAAGCTGAACTGGATTCCATCAAGCTCCATGGAGTTTACGAGCTCGTGCCGCGCGAATCTGTACCTGAGGGTCGCAAGATCATTAGGTCTCGACCTGTCTTCAAGATTAAACGCGGCAGCAATGGCGACATCCTGAAGTTCAAGGCTCGTTTAGTGTCAATGGGATATGCCCAAATTGCTGGGCAGGACTACCACGAAACCTACGCACCTACGTCCCGCTTCGAGTCTTTCCGAATGGTTCTACATGCTGGCGCAACGCTCGATTACGAAATAGACCACGTTGATGTGAAAACGGCTTTCCACAACGGCTTGCTTGAGGAGGAGATCTGGCAGGAGCAGCCAAAGGGCTTTGAGGTCCCCGGGAAAGAGAGCTGGGTGTGGAAACTGAAGCGGGGAATGTACGGCTTAAAGCAAGGCAGCAGGTCGTGGAATCAGCGCCTAAACGCCGCTATGATTTCCATCGGATTTGAGCGAATTTCCGTCGAACACAGCATCTATTCGAGAAAGCGGGGTGGCGACTCGTCCCTGGTTGCAGTCCATGTCGACGATTTGTGTGTCGCGGCGAACTCAACGAACGAGATGAAGCGATTTAAGGAGGAGTTAAAGGGCCACTTCGAGATCACGGATCTCGGCCCGGTCAAATGGATCCTTGGAATTCACGTAACTCGCAATCGTGTCGCCCGGACAATTTCTCTCGACCAACAGACTTACATCGAGAAGATGGCAGAACGGTTCGGACTTGAGAATGCACACGCCGTCCGCACTCCTATGGTTCACGGAGAACCCCTTGCCCATTCCATGTCACCATCAACTCCATCCGCAAAAGCTCGCATGGCCGCCGTACCTTACCGCGAACTTGTCGGATCCCTGATGTATGCGAACGTCGCAACTCGCCCAGATATAGCCCACTCTGTCGGAGTTGTGAGTCAATTCTGTCAGAACCCTGGCGAACTCCACTGGCTAGCCGCAAAGCGTATATTGCGCTATCTCATTGGAACGAAATCCTACTCTCTAGTACTTGGAGGACGCTCCCCCATTCACCTTACGGGATATACAGACTCTAATTATGCTCCTCCGGGCGATCTTGACAAACGGAAATCCACTTCAGGGTACTGCATGACTCTCGGAGGCGGAGCCATCTCTTGGAGTTCAAAGCGCCAAACCACTGTCGCAACTTCCAGCACTGAGGCTGAGTACATGGCATGCTGCCATGCTGCCAAGGAGGCCGTCTGGCTGCGGATGCTCTTACACGCTGTAGGCCACCGCCAGAAAAATGCGACCGTCCTCTCTGCGATAATCAAGGTGCTTTGATACTCACGGCAGACCCTTCCCTCCACTCCCGCGCTAAACACATTGATGTGCAATACCACTTTTCGCGCGACCGCGTTGAGCGTGGGGAACTCAAGTTCACTTATGTTCACACATCCGAGAATGTGGCGGATATTTTCACCAAACCCCTACCGGAACCTCTTTTCAAGAAATTCCGGGCCATGTTGGGGATTATGGGTTGACTGGACGCGTTCAGCACGCTGAGGAGGAGTGTCAACATCTGGACATCGAGCTACGCGTCCATGCACGTGTCCGTGCCAAGCTATATTATTTTCTGATCACGCTTTTTTCCTCTCACTGGTTCTTACGACGAACGACAGTGAGAGCTTGTATTGACTCTGTCATACAGTTCTCCACGGTTCACAAGGTTCAAAGGAATAGAGCTAAGTACTCTGCCTCAGGGATGCTGGTTGTCGATCCCGAGCTCCGGAATTGGAATTGGGCACTAGTAAATATTAAACTGTGGATCTCCGGGATTGTTAACGTTCGGACATTGAGGGCAAGCAAGTTGGCATGCGGCAGTGCCCATCATCATCTTGCTTCCAAGCCTCTTGAAGCTTGAAGGGGTGCTTTGGCTTCCCGGACGGGAGAGTCCAGATTTGGCATTCACATTATTTTGCAAAAGCCGGCACATCTGCGCAGAGTCGGCAGGTGTGCGGCATTCCGCATTCGATATAAGAATTGCAATATTCAAACTATTCCCACCTCACCTTCAACAACTTTCCTGATATTTCTGTAAACCCAACTGAAATGTAACCTCAATAACCACACCTAACACCCCCCTCCTTGAGGCTGATACAGAGTGCCGAGATTGCCGAAGTCCGGCCGTCAGAGGCATCCTCGTGCATCGTGATGGGATCAAGTTGATATGCGGCACCTGCTGTCTAGAAACACGGCAGATGGGCCACTAGTGTGCCGTGTTTGATTCTCTTTGATTCGATTCGCAAAATCTTTTGCCGGCCGAATCTCATCAACGTTCGGTTTGGAAAATATATTAACTGCATGATGATCTTTACTGCACTTGAGTCGTATGCATCAGTGTGCATCAGTGCAGCTCAATTCAAACCAGTTGAACTGCATCGGTCTGCAACATGACCTGCATTGCTCCGCACTCATTGAGTTTCCCTCAATGCAATTCTGGAGTAATGTAACTCGATGAAAAACCTCATGGTAGTAAATTGCACTACCTTTCACTGACGAAATAATGGGGTTGCATCAGACTGCACTGTAAATAATCGAGTATCACCGTATTGCATCGATGCACATCGAGTATTCCTGATGTAACTCAATGCCATCGGCTGTGCATCGTATTTTTGTCCAATAAACACCGTCATAGTGAGGTCTGGGTTCGACTCCCGGCGTCCGAAAGATACGATCTGCCCCTTTTTCTTTTCAATGCTATTCGCACCCTTTCAATTCTTTGGTCAGCTGCGGGACGAGTACTTGCTCACTTTTACTGGCTTGAATTTACACAGGACTAAGACAAGACGGGATGTGGAAGGCTCGTGAACCCCTCTGCATCCGCCGTGTTACCTTTTAGTGCGTCGATTCTCCCTTGCTGAGCGCAGATCTCTCTCATATCAGGTACACAGAGTACCCCAGAAATCGGACGTGGTGCACGGTACACGCCTGCTCTCGATCGCAAAAAAAATTGAACCCCGTCGAAGTAGGAGAACTGGGTTCGACTCCCGGCGTCCGAATAGTGCACTTCGAGGCAGTGTCTTTTTTTGGTACTCTCATCTTTGCATTTTTTGGGAGGGATATTGACTCACTTTTACAGGGCTCGATTTGTTCAATGACCCGGAAGCGGTGTGGAAGCTCCGTGACCCTGAACCTCTGCAGCGTTTACGTTCTGGTACGGCCCTTCTCAATCTCGGTCGGCGCTGAAATCGATGTCATAGAGTCAGGCTCACAGGGTACCCAAGAACGCCTGTTCTGCATTGCGGGCTGAAGGAGTTCCAAGCAGGCAGTTCGGGTTCGACTCCCGGCGTCCGAATATTGCGCTCTCCTACCATTTTTCTTTACAATGCTATTCGTATCCTTCTGATTTTTTTTGTTTCGCTGCGGGACGAACACCGACTCAATTATATAGGGCTCAAGTCTGCATAGGCAACAACTCTCGTGAACCCTCATCCTCCGCCGTGTTTATGTTCTGGTACGTCGATACTCAATTCCCGTGAGCGGTCAACTCTCCGTCGTAGATTCAGGTTGAAAGTGTACTCAAAGAATCGGATGTGGTGCACGGTGCACGCCTGCTCTCGATGAAAAAATGGACGCGGTCGAAGTAGGAGAACTGGGTTCGACTCCCGCCGTCCGAATGGGTGAGTTTCTCTCAGTTTTTTTATTCAATGCTATTGTATCCTTCTGGTTTTTTGGTTTTTTGTTTCGCTGCGGGGCGAATAATTACTCACTTTTACAGGGCTTGAATTTACACAGGCCTCGTCCAAGGTGTATGGGCTCGTGAACTCCTGAACCTCCGGTTTATATTCTGGTGCGTCGATTATCACTTGCTGGTCCCCGAAGTGTCTCTCATGATCAAGTTGATAATATACTCAAGGAATCGAATGTGATGCACGGCGCACGCTTCCTCATGTATTGTGAATACGAAGCCGTGGGTACGGATCCTGGGTTCGACTCCCGGCATCCGAATGGTTGGCTTTGTTTGGAAATGTGTCTTTTTTCAATCCGTTATTCGTACCCATCTGATTTTTTTGTTTCGCTGCGGGACGAACACTGACTCAATTATTCAGGGCTCAATTATCTCTCGTGCCCCTGAACCTCCGCAGCGTTTACATTCTGGTGCGTTGATTCTCGCTCCCAGTAAGCGCTCAAATCTCTGGCGTATATTCAGGTTGAAAGCGTACTATAGGAATCGGATGTGGTGCACGGTGCACACCTCCTCTCGATGTGAAGTCTTCATAGACAGTCAAGCAGGCAGTCCGGGTTCGATTCCCGCGTCCGGATGTTCCTGGCATGATTAGCTTTTTCAATGCTATTCGTATCGTTTGGATTTTCATACTTGTCCCGGGCGGTGCTGAAATAATTCTCATATATTCAGGCTCACAGAGGACCCCAGAATCGGATGTGGTGTACGGTGCACGCCTGCCTTGAATGATTTATTGCTTCTGTAGCCAGGATCAAGCAGGAAGCCCGGGTTCGACTCCCAGCGTCCGATTCCCGAATATTGCTTCTACTGTGTTTTTTTCAATGTTTTTTGTCTCCCTGCGGACGGATACTGACTTGGTTTTACAGGGCACAACTCCTTATAAGACTTGGATGGGATGTGGAAGGCTCCGTTGATTCTCAATCCCAGGAAGCCACACATTGAAATCACTCTCATATTCAGGTACACATGGGAACCCAAGAACTCGGATGTGGTGTACGGTGCAGGCCTGCTCTCCATATAAAGGCTGTATAGACCGTCAAGCAGGAACCACGGGTTCGACTCCCGGCGTCCAAATAGTTCAATTCTTCCCAGGTTTTTTTTTGCAACGCTATTCCCCATCTGATTTTTTGTCTCGCTGTGGAACGAGTACTTGTTCACTTATACAGGGCTTAATCTGCACAGGACTAATACGGGTTGCGGAAGGCTAGTGAACTCTTCAACCTCTGTCGAGTTTACATCATGGTGCTTCCATTCCCATTCACGGCACGTGGACTCTCTTTCGTGTAGACCAGTTCATGACATACTCGAGAACTCGGATGTGGTGCGGGGTGCACGCCTGTACTGATTGGACTGGGAGCTTAGCATAAGAGCAAGCAGGAAGTCCGGGTTCGACTCCCGGCGTCCGAATAGAGTCTGTACATAAGCCCCCGTTTTTTTCTTTCCAAACCGGCTGATTTCTTTTTCGTTGTACTTGCTCACATATTCCAGGCTCAAGTCTGTATAGGCAACAACTCTCGTGAGTCGTGAACTGCTGTAGCGTTTACATTCTGGTGCGTTGATTCTCACTCCCAGTTGGCACTCGGCACTGAAATCCTTCCCATATATTCATTTACACAGAATACCCTAGAACTCGGACGTAGTGCACGGCGCACGCCTGCCTAGTATCGGCAGGAAGCCCGGGTTCGACTCCCGACGTCCGAATGATGAGTTGGCCAACATCTTTTTCTCGATGTTGGGGCTCAAATCTGCATAAGACTCAGACGGGGTGTGGAAGGCTCGTGGACCCTTCAATGACCGCTGCCTTCACATTTGGTGCGGAAAAATCGAGTCTCAATCCCAGTGAGCACTGAAATCTTTCCGGTGCTGCGGCGGTGCACACCTGCCTCGCTTGAGGTGACTAGAACTCCGTAGGTGGGATTCCCGGGTTCGACTCCCGTACTCCGAATCAGCTATCACCTCAAAGTTTTCTTTTTGGCACGCGTACCTTTGTATTTTTTTCTTTGGCTGCGGGACGGTCACTGATTCATTTATACAGGGCTCCAATCTGCAAACAATTCCGACGGGGTGTGGGTCGTGACCCATCAACCTCCGTCGCATTTACATTCTGGTGTGTCGATTCTCACCCTGGGAAAAACTGAGCGCTGAAATCACTCTCTTGTACTCAGGTACACATGGGGACCCGACAGCTCCGACGCGGTGTATGGTGCATGCATAGCGTCAAGCAGGAAGCCCGGGTTCGACTCCCAGCGTCCGAATGGTTTTCTTTCCTCAATATTTTTCCATTCAATTCTATTCATATCCTTCTAATTTTTGTCTTGCTGTGGGACCAACACTAGTACTGACTCACTTTTACCAGGATCAAATCTGCATACGTATGATTCGGAAGTGGGGGGGAAGGCTCGTGACACCTTCACCTCTGTCGCATTACCTTTTAGTGCGTTGATTCCCAATCCCGGGAAGGGCTGAGCGCAGATCTCTGTCGTATATTCAGGTAAACAAGGGGACAGAAGGAATCGGACGTGGTGCACGGTGCACGCCTGCCTCATCTGCCACAGGTTTGAAGTATCGGCAGGAAGTCCGGGTTCGACTCCTGGCGTCCGAATAGTGCCTTCTCCTATAGCATTTTTTTTACAATGCTATTCGGACTCTTCTGACTTTTTTTTGGTTCGCTGCGGGGCGATTACTTGCTCACTTATACAGGGCTCGAATCTGCATATTTGGGACTCGAACGGGGTGTGAAATCCTCAACCTCCGTGGTGTTTCCAGTTTGGTGCGTTGATTCTCACTGCCAGTCGCTGAAATCTCTCTCATGTACTTAACTTGAAAGTTTACCCCAAGGAATCGGACGTGGTGCACGAGGCACGCCTGTTCTTGATTACAAGTTGACGGAGCGTCGAGCAGGAGGTCCTGGTTCGACTCCCCGTGTCCAAATAGTTCAACTCAGCCCATTTGATTTTTTTGTCTCGCTGTGGAACGAGTACTTGTCGCTTTTATAGGGCTCCGATCTGCATAGGAAGCGGAAGCGGTGTGCAAGGCTCGTGAACCTCTAAGCATCAATCGCGTTTATATTCTGGTGCGTCGATTCTCACTCCCAGTCGGCACTGAAATCTCTGTCATAGTAGACTCAAGTCGAAATCTGTCAGCCATGCGTTGAGATCACTCTCGTACTGTATTCAGGTACACGACGTACCAAGAAATTGGATGTGGTGCACGGTGCACGCCTGTTCTTGATTACAAGCTGAAGGAGCGTCAAGCAGGCAGTCCGGGTTCGACTCCCGGCGTCCGAATGTTGGCGTGCTTCGCGATTTTCTTTGTCAATTCCCTTTGCATTTTTTGTTTCACTGTGGGACGAATACTTTCTAAATTAATACAGGGCTCAAATCTGCATATGTAGGACTCATCCAAGGTGTATGGGCTCGTGAACTCCTGAACTTCCGCATGTTTATATTCCGGTGCATCGATTCTCATTCGCAGGACGTGATCAACTCTCTTTTATATCCAACTACAGAGAGTAGCCAAGAATTCGGATGTGGTGTACGGTGCACGCCTGCCTATGACCGGTACGCCCATGAAGATGTAGGCAGGAATTAATCCCCGGGTTGGACTCCCAACGTCCGAATACAAGAACATTTCTTTTTCTTTCAATGCCATTCGTACCCTTCTGATTTTTCTTTCGCTGCTGGACGATTACTTGCTCACTCTTGCGGGGCTCAAATCTGCGTAAGACGCGGAAGCGATGTGGAAGGCTCATGAATCCCTCAGCCTCCGCAGCGTTTACATTATGGTCGTGGGTCGTCGATTCTCAATCCGGGCGGCCCACAGCGAAAGAAAAAAATGAGAAGGATCCGAATAGCATTGAATAAAAATTCTGTGACGAACGCAACCATTCGGACGCCGGGAGACGTGCACCGTGCACTACGTCCGATTCATTGGCTACTTTGTGTACCTGAATATATGAGAGTGATTTCAACGATGAACACTGACTCAATTATATAGGGCTCAATTACGGGCAACAAATCTCGTGCCCCTGAACCTCCGCCGCGTTTATATTCTGATTTGTCGATTCTCAATCCCAGTAAGCCACACATTGAAATCACCCACATATAGCCGGGTTCACAGAGTACCCAAGGAATCGGACGTGGTGTACAGTGCGCGCTTGCTTAGATTGAGTGTTGTATGTAACTGCAAGCAGGGGGTCCGGGTTCGACTCCCGGTGTCCGAATGGTTTTCTTTCTTCGATGATTTTCTTTTCAATCCCATTCGTACCCTTCTAATTTTTTTTGGTTCGGGACGAACACTGACTCACTTTTATGGGGCCCAAATCTGCATAGGCGACAACTCTCGTGAACCCTTCGCCTCCGCCGCGTTTATTTCTGGTGCGTTGATCCCCATTCTCGGTTGGCGCTGAATTTCGTGTTTCAATCCCGTTACGTGGTGGACTCTCCGTCGTACAAGCTCACAGAGTAATCAAGACATCGGACGTGGTTCACGGTGCACGCCTGTATGGATCGGGTCTTCATTGAAGAGCAAGCAGGAAGCTCGGGTTCAACTCCCGGCGTCCGAATATTTATATCCTCCACCATCTTTCTGTCCAAACTGGCCGCGTGGGTTTTTCTTTTTCGTTGTGCTTGTTCACATATTCCTAGCTCAAATATTTATGGGCAACAGCTTCCGTGCCCCTGAACCGCCGCAGCGTTTACATTCTGGTGCTTCCATCCCCATTCACGATACATGGTCGACTCTCTTTCGTGTAAACCAAATCGTGGCATAATCAAGAAATCGGACGTGGTGCACGGCAAACGCCTGCCTCATCTGCCGTAGGTTTAAAGTGTCAGCAGGAAGCCCGGGTTCGACTCCCAGCGTCCGAATGGCGACGATTTCTAATAGAGTATTTTATCCCTTCATGCCTGACGGTATGGTAGATGTAAATCGACGGTACATAAATTCATGGAAGTCGATCACTTTACCTCCGCCGTGGATAGCCTCAGGAGTCAGGTATGTTGATTCTCGCTCCCGCTACGTGCTGAACTCTCTCACATATAGCCAGGTTCACAGAAGACTCAAGGAATCGGAGCTGGTGTGCGGCGCACGCCTGCCCTGAATATTACATCAACTTCGCAGTCGCAGGAAGTCCGGGTTTAACTCCCGGCGTCCCAATATTGGGGCTCTCGTCCTTTTTTTTGTTCTCAATCCTAAGGGCCACGCGCTGAAATCTTTCTCATGTATCCAGGCACACAGAGTGCCCAAGGAATCGGATGTGGTGCACGGTGCACGCCTGTTCTGGATGCCAAGGCTGCGTACAGCGTCAAGCAGGAGGTCTGGGTTCGACTCCTAGCATCCGTATAGTCTTCTTCGGGAATGTTTTTCTCTTTCTTCCGACGTTTTACAGCATCAGCTGAAAGATCCCTTGCATGCATATACATTCAGGCTCGAACCACGCTTGGGAAGTCGGATGTGGTGAATGGTGCACGCCTGCCCTAAATATAGCAGAGAGAAAGAATTCCCTAGTCGCTGTAGGTCCGGGTCCGGACTCGTTATTGATTCGTGAAGGTTTTCTTATTCAATGCTATTCGTACCCTTTGGATTTTTTTGTCTCGCTGCAGGACGAATTCTTACTCACTTTGACAGGCCCCAAATCTGCATCTGTGGGACTCGGAAGCGGTGTGTGAGGCTCATGATCCCTCCCCTCCGCCTCTGCAGTGTTTACATTCTGGTGCGTTGTTTCTTAATCCCGGGTAGCGCTGAAATCTCTGTCGTAGATTCAGGATGAATGCGGACTCAAGGAATTGGACGTGAGCCACGATCGCGACATCATCGAGTCGGTGTAAGCTGTTCCAGGTGCTTCGATCCCGTTTACGTTTTTTTATCCCGGCGTGCTGAGTGTCAGCGGGATGAACGATGAGAAGCGCGTTTATTCTGCGCTTTTTGTGCGCGCTGGTGCAGCGAGGAACCAGCGTGGATGGACGCCGAGGAACGGAGCGGCTTTATAAGAAGAAATCAACCAACGGAAATTTCAACACTGATGCCATCACCTCGGGGTTTTTCGCATGTCGTCTCCATCAACCGGGACCAGATTGTCCTTGTCTTGTCTCGCCACGTCATGAGCCGCGTCGTGTCCTGTGTCTACCACCATCTGCTTGCCACCCAGCTGCTGAGCTGGAGCGCAAACTCGGTGCATCTCGTCGTGGCTGTTCAAACCAAGTCAGTTTTCTCGCACCTTCTAGAACCCGGGCTCGGATCGAAGTTCTCGCGCTGGGCCCGGGCTTCTCCCTCGGATCATCTCTTCTCCGCCGTACTGCCCGCGGCGAACCTGCTCTAGGAGGTGGTACGCGGCGCGCACTTGCCCGTTGTATGCAGGCGTGAGGTGAGGATGCAATTGTGCGTAGGAATCCCGGCGTACGATTTGAATGCACGTACATAACCCCTTTTGTTCTGTCCAAATCCAAATCCAAATAGGCCCCCGGGCCCGCGTAAACCCTGTTTTCATCCCGTCGTCCGTCGTCCGTCGCCGCGTTGACATTGCTACAGGGTCAAGCGGGAAGCCCGGGTTCGACTCCCGGCGTCCGAATCAACTCTCTGGCGGATTATTTTGTCAATGCCATTGAATTTTTTTTTTGGTTTCGCTGTGGGACGAGCAGTTGCTCACTTTTACAGGGCTCTAATCTGCATAGGATTCTTCTCGGACGGAGTGTTGAAGGCTCGTGAATCCCTTCAACCTCCGCCTCCGTCGCGTTTACATATTCTTATACGGGGTGGGGTATACAGCTCAGATCTGCATCGGACTCGGACGGGACGGGATGTGGAAGGCTCGCGAAACCCTTAACCTCTGTCGCGTTACCTTTCAGTGCGTCGATTCTCACTTGCTGGTCGCTGAGATCTCTGTCATGTATACCAGCTTGCGACGTACCCAAGTAATCGGATGTGGTGCACGGTGCACACCTGTTCTGGATACAGCTTGAGATGCAATCTAACAGGAAGCCCGGGTTCGACTCCCGGCGTCCGAATGGTTTTCTTTCCTCGATATTTTTCTATTCAATTGCTATTTGTATCCTTCTAATTTTTGTCTCTGTAGGACCAGCACAAGTACTGACTCACCTTTACAAGGCTCGAATCTGTATAAGACTCGGACGGGATGTATGGGCTCAGGAACCCGTCGCGTTTACGTTCTGGCGCGTCAATTATCACTTGCTGTTCCCTGAAATATCTGTCATATATCCAGGTACAGAGTACCCAAGAACTCGGATGTGGTGTACAGTGCACGTCTGTTTATATTATGCAGTGAGCAACTACAAGCAGGAAGCCCGGGTTCGACTCCCGGCGTCCGAATGGCTTTCTTTCTTCGATGATTTTCTTTTCAATCCCATTCGTACCCTTCTACTTTTTTGTTTCGGGACGAACACTGACCCACTCTTATGAGGCTCAAATCCGTAGGCAACAACTCTCGTGAACCCTCAGCCTCCGCGGTGTTTATTTCGGGTGTGTTGATTCTCAATCCCGGGCAGCGCTGAAATCTCTCTCATGTACTCAGGTTGATAATACACCTAAGAAATCGGATGTGGTGTATGGTGCACGCCTGCCCTAAATATAGTAGAGAGAGAGCATTCCCTAGTCGCAAGAAGCCCAGGTTCGACTCCCGGCGTCCAATTAGTTTCTCCTTCATCTTTCTTTCTCAATGCTATTCGGACTCTTCTAATTTTTGTCTCGCCGGGGGGCGAGTCCTTACTCATTTTCGCAGGGCTCAAATCTGCATAAGACTCGGATGGGATGTGGAAGGCTCGTGACCCCTGAACGTCCGCAGCGTTTACATTCTGGTGCGTCTATTCTCACTCTCGGTTGGCGCTTAAATCTCTCTCCTATATTCAGGCTCCCAGAGTGGCCAAGAACTCGGATTTTGTGCACGGTGCATGCCTGTTTGGATTGTGCGTTGTGAAACTGCAAGCAGGAGGGTTCGACTCCCGGCGTCGCAAACTGGTATAAATGAGATCTGGTATAAATGAGATCTGGTATAAATGAGATCTCATTTATACCAGTTTGCGACGTACCCAAGCAATCGGATGTGGTGCATGGCACACACCTGCCCTTCATACTGGAGGCGTTCCCCCAGTCGCAGGAAGCCCGGGTTCGACTCCCCGCGTCCGAATGATGCACTTCGAGACAGGGTCTTTTTTTGGTACTCACATCGTTGCATTTTTTGGGATGGATACTGACTCACTTTTACAGGGCTCAAATCTGCATTTGTGGGACTAGGACGGCAGGGCGTCGATCCCCATTCCCGGGCGGTGCTGAAATCTTGCTCATATATTCAGGTACTCAAGCAATCGGATGTGGTGCACGGTGCACGCCTGCTTGGATTATGTTGTGTGTTATGTGACTTCAAGCGTGAGGTCTGGGTTCGACTCCCGGCGTCCCAATGACATTTGTCCCTACACCATTTTTCTTTCCAACGCCATTCGTATCCTTCTAATTTTTATCTGGCCGGGGGGCTGATGGAGTTTCTGCTTTAAGGACTACAAGCCTTAGATTCACGTAGTAATTCGGTTCAATCAAAGATAAGATTTACACGATGCCCGTGAGGGCGGGTGGTACAAGCTCGTGAGGAAACCCTCACATTACTACTGTATATATACTGATTCCGTGAGTCAATCCGAGTCATAAATAATTGTTCCATAATATTCGTGAGTGTTCCATAATATTCCGATACCTTCTCCAACATTCCTGGTGAGCCGGGCAACTTCTCCGAGATGCCCGAGCCTCGGTGATGCGCCCGAGTGCTCTCACGCTAATAGGGGCGAGTACTTGCTCACTTATACAGGGCTCGAATCTGCATCGGACTCGGACGGGATGTGGAAGGCTCGTGCACTCCTCAACCGTGTCGTGTTACCTTTTAGTGCGTCGACTCCACTCCCGATCGGCGCTGAAATCTCTCTCATATATCCAGGTACAGATCGGGACTCAAGGAATCGGACGTGGTGCACGGTGCACGCCTGTTTGGATTGTGTTGTTATTTGACTTCAAGCATGAGGTCCGGGTTCGACTCCCGTCTTCCGAATGCCCTTCTTCCAGCATTTTCTTTTCACTCCCTATTCGAACCCTTTGGATTTTTTGTCTCGCATAAGACGCGGAAGTGGCGTGGAAGACCACGAACTCCTCAGCCTCTGTCGCGTTACCTTTTAGTGCGGTGATTCTCACTTGCTGTTCGCTGGAATCACTCTCATATATTCAGGTATATAGAAGACCCAAGAGCTCGGATGTGGTGTACGGTGCACACCTGCTCTAAATAGTAGTGCGACAAGAGAGTGACTGGTTGCAGGAAGCCCGGGTTCGATTCCCGGCGTCCGAATCGTTGGCTTCGAAAAGTTTTTTTGTTTTTTTGGTTCGCTCATCTTTGCATTTTGGATACTGACCCACTTATAGAGGGCCCAAATCTGTTCAGGGAAGCGGAAGTGGTGTGGAAGGCTCGTGAACTTCTCAACCTGTGTACATTCTGGCGCTTGATTCTTATTCTCGGTTGGCACTGAAAGCTCTCTCTATAAAAGTTTTTTTCGTTGTTTATTATATGCTCAAGATCCGTGAATCCGCAACCCGCGGTTGCGGTTCTGGTTAGTGTTTCGTACTCCGCGGTTGTGGTTTGCCGACGCTAGCCGAATAGCCGAGCTTGGCCGAACTCTCACGGTTCGATGCCTTTTTAAGTACTGTTCCAATTCACCTTAAGATGAGTATATCATGGCTAGATATATTCACATTTTATTCTAATAGTAAATTCAATGTGCAAAGGAGCTCAGTCCAACCTCTAGCTCCATTGCGGGGGAAATTTTGTGTCTAATGAAATTTAGTGCTAGCTCTGTATTACAGGCCACAATAGGTTCGAGAGCAGGTGATGTTGGTATTAGAAGTGCTTATGACTCATTATTCTGCCTCTGTTATCCCACTTGAATGAATGGACTGCTTCCTAGTCGAAAAAGCTTACCCGGCTGAGTCCCGGATCAATTTCAAATGATCCGGCTTCGGTACGGTTCAGTTTTGGTTGGTGAAACTTTGTGCTAACCTTGAGTGCAGGTCACTAGAAGTACTTCAGGCCACATCAAACGTCCGAAACCACACACAGGAAGTAAAGAAATGTTCAAAAACCGCATTCTTAAACCACGAACTTGGCACAAAACCACAATTGTCAACCACAAACACCATCAAATCCACGGACTTCAACCTTGACTCCAACCCGAATAATAAACAACGAAAAAAAACGTCATATCTCTCATATATTCAGGTTCACAGCACACTCAAGAACTCGGACGTGGTGCACGGCGCACGCCGGCCTCCTCTCCTTTTGGTTTGAGCTGGTTTGAGCTGGCGGCAGGAAGTCCGGGTTCGACTCCCGGCGTCCGAATATTTCGGTCCCAGTATTTTTCTTTTCAATGCCATTCGTACTCTTTGGATTTTTTGTCTCGCCGTAGGACGGATATTTGCTCAGTTTTACAGGGTTGAAATCTGCATAGGACTCGGACGGGGTGTGGGGGGCCATAAACCTCTGTCGTGTTACCTTTTAGTGCGTTGATTCGGTAAGCGCTGAGATCGCTGTCGTAAATTCAGGTTGAAAGTGTACTAAAGGAATCGGACGTGGTGCACGGTGCACGCCTATTCTGGATGCCAAGGCTTCGTATAGCGTCAAGCAGGAAACCCGGGTTCGACCCCCGGCGTCCGAATAAATCTTTCTCCCGAAGTTTTTTTTCTCTTTTCAATGCTATTGGTGCCCTTCTGATATTTTGTTTTTTTTGTTTCGATGTGGGACGAATACTTGCTCACTTTGACAGGGCCCAAATCTACGTAGGACATGGAAGTGGTTTATGGGCTCGTGAACTCCTCAGCCTCCATCGCGTTACCTTTCAGTGCGTCGATTCTCACTCCTGGGAATAACTGAGCGCTGAAATCACTCACATATAGCCAGGTTTACAGCGTACTCAAGAAATCGGATGTGGTGCACGGCGCACACCTGCCTCACCTATGATAAATCCGGATATGAATTTGTAGGTAGGAAGCCCGGGTTCGACTCCCGGCGTTCGAATGCACGAACCGACTTGGGAACGATTTTTTTTTCAATGCCATTCGGACCCTTCTGATTTTTGTTTTGCTGTGATACGATTGCTGTGAGACGAGTGCTTGCTCACTCTTATGGGGCTCTAATCTGCATAGGATTCTTCTCGGATGGAGTGTCGTGAGTCGTGCCAAATTGTGTCTGGCACCGTCTGCCACTCAGCTGCTGAGCTGGAGCGCAGACTCGGTGCATCCCGTTCCAACCAGTGGCGCTTGGGAGAAGTCGACCTTCTCGCCCCCTTCTAGAACCCGGGCTCGGATCTTCTCGTGGGCTATCATCTCTTCTTCGCCAAACCGCCAATGTTAACCGCGCTCGAACCTGCTCATTGTGTGCAGGCATGAGGCGAGGATGCAATTGTTGGTATGCTTAGGAAGCCCGGGTTCGACTCCCATCATTTCTTTTCAATGCCATTCGTACTCTTTGCATTTTTGTTTTGCTGCGGAATTGACACTGACTCAGTTTTACAGGGCTCGACTCGCCCCGTTTACATCCTGGTGCGTCGATTCTCAATCCTGGGAAGAACTGAGCGCTGAACTTACTCTCATATATTCAGGTACACAGTGTACCCAAGGAATCGGATGTGGCACGAACTCTACTGTTGCATCCTTCCCTAGTCGCAGGAAGCCCGGGTCGACCCCTGCCGTCCGAATGGTTTCGTTCGTTGCGATTTTCTTTTTCAATGCTATTCGTTAATTCGTACCCTTCTGATCTTTGCTCGCTGCGGGACGCTTACGTCCTCACTTTTACGGGGCTCAAATCTTCATAAGAATAAGATATGGACGGGGTGTGGATGACTCGTGAATCCCTTCAACGTCCGCCTCCACGATGTTTACATTCTTATGGGCGATATACTGTGCAAAAATTTACCAAAGTTTACAGGGTTTTTCATTACAGTTTACATCTGTGTGGGTGACTTGAAGAACCTTGCATCCTCAGTTTGGATGCAACTTCTTCAAATGGCTTGCAACTTTGTAAAATGGTTCACATCTCGGCAAATCCGGAGTGATCGCCGAGCTGTTCGTATCAAATTTAGATCAACGGGCCGGGATCAATTTCAATTCCGTCGGCCACCTCGCAGTTCTCCCTCTCCACAGGCTCCTCGGATGTAATATTTCAAATTTAGAGTATTGAAAGAATGGTGTGTAACATATTGGAGCTTGGATATGGTCAAACAAGACCAGAATGGCTGCAATTTGACTTCACGAGCAAAGGACTTTGTCCATTCGTTTAGGGATTCTGTGATTTGTATTCGAGCTCAAAAATTGAAGTTGTTATCCTTTACATTGAGTTATTTACAGCTTGCTCATACTTCCTGCTCTCTGAGGTGCGAAGACCGCACAATATCCGTTTTCGGATCCCGGCCGAGTATTCGGATCACCGTTCCGATCAATACCATCAGTTGCGCTACCGTCGGGATGATTTCGAGTCAAAAAATTCAAAGACACTCGAAGCAGTCAACTGGAGCTGGGTGCTTTGTGAACCTCTATGATGGATGCAACTGAGCTGAAAGATGTCATCATTTTGAGAGATGCAAGCAAAAACCCTGTCTCCGTTTCAAAGATGTATTCAAAAAACCTGTCTCCACTCCCAACATGTCCTCTGATAATTTTTGCACAGTATATGTGCCATACATTCTGGTGCGTCGATTCTCATTCCTGGTATGTGGTCAACTCTCTGTTGTACATTCAGGTTGAAAGTGTACTAAAGGATTCGAATGTGGTGTATGGCGCACGCCTATTCTGGATTCCAAGGCTTCGTACAGCGTCAAACATGGAGCCCGGCTTCGACTCCCGGCGTCCGAATATAGGGTGTAACCCCCGTTTTTTCTTTCCACACCGGCCGTGTAGGGTTTTCTGGAAAGCCGTCAAACACCTCATGCGCTATTTGAAGGGAACTTGGACATGAAGCTAACCTATGCTCCTTTAAAGTCCCCACTGATGAGCTTTTCACGACTTACTCTGACGCGGATTACTAGCTTTATTCCACGGGGACAACTCGGACAATGGCGGTCAACATCGGGCATGGTCGTGAAAATCGGCAGCGGGGCTGTTAGCTGGCACAGCCGGCTAGGAGCATTGTTACCGTCTCCATTACGGAGGCCGAATATCGGAATATGTCGCGGCGTGCACAGCGGGAATGGAGATTATCTATCTTCGCTACCTCTTGGTCGAATTCGGCTAACCGTACGTGATGCATCGACCCTCTACGTCGACAATCAATCCAGGTGATCAAGTGGCTGAAGATTGATAGCATCCGTAGCATACACCTGACGCGGTGTATGGAGTATGGGCCCGCGCTGGAAAATACCTACCTTACATAGCGGAAATTTTCATGGCACAACCTAAATTTCCAAGTTCCAGATAAATCGAGCTGAGCGTTTGGCCGCCTCAAGGCCGCCTCGAGTCTCGGCATCTCGTCGCTCAATTCCATTACCGAGCCGCTGCATTCAGAAGCAGTTACGAGACAAGTTACGAGACATATACAGTACTCCATCGCCTTATCGCCACTCGCAGGGCCGTTGGCCCCGTGGACCTGTCAAATATCTACCACTTGTTCTTCCCCTGACTTGATAAATATATTCGCGGAATTCCGTTAGATTAAGTACTTAAAGAGAGAAGCTCTTACACATCTTCCCATGGCGTTCCTCGACATCCCAGGCGCGATCCCATGCGCCGTCTTAGTGCTCGGTGCCGCACTATATCATGTCTTTTCCCGGAACAAGTGCCGCTCCAGATTACCACTTCCCCCTGGACCCAGGAAGCTGCCTCTGGTGGGAAATCTGCTGGACGTACCCGCAACCTTCGAGTGGGAGAAGTACATGCAATGGAGCAAAGAATACAGTGCGCCAGACCTTTTAGTTTTCTTCCTTTCCTGTTAACTGTTCAAGACTCCGATATCATTCACTTGAACCTGGCAGGGCAATCGGTGATTGTGCTGTCCTCGTTAGAGGCGGCTGAGGCCCTTCTCGAGAAGCGCTCCGCGCTCTATTCAGATAGGCAAATTTCTCGAACTCGAATCTGCTGCTTGTGGAAGTAATACTCTTTCAGATCAGATCTTCCTATGGTGAATGAGTTGATGGGTTGGGATTTCAATGTTGGTATGCACCGTTCTTTCTCCTTGCGTTTCCCTTTTTAAGTCGGATGTGCTCTAGCACTTATGAAATATGGTATGGGTCCTACGTCAAATTAATACACCAGCCATTCATCAATGCATATATAGGCGATACATGGTGCGCAGCCAACTTAGGAGTATATTTTTCGATATTGGTTGATGCCTCTCCCTTCTAGGCGTACGAACCGCCGGCTCTTGAAGCAGGTGTTTAATCCAGCGATCTACCATCCTTTGGAGCTGACGGCTGCTCGTACCCTCCTCGGGAGTCTGCTGGATAGCCCTGATGCGTTCTACGCTCATTTACGCCAGTAAGTGCGTATCTATCCCGACATCCAACCGCTCAGCCTTCCCTGCAAATAAAGGATGGCGGGAGAGATCATAATGTCAATGGCATACGGGATTGATGTCCTGCCGTCCGGCGACCCATATGTCGCCCTGGCTAACAAAGCCATGCACTCGCTGGAAGTCGCCCTCGTAGATCGGTACCTCGTTGTAAGTCCAGTTTACCAAAAGAACATGATCACATTTACCGTGGCTTTCAGGACATGTTCCCGGCTTTGAAATACGTGCCGAAGTGGTTCCCGGGCGCGGAATTCAAGCGCAAGGCTGAGGAGTGGAGGAAGCTTGCGCGGGCCATGGTGAATGTTCCCTACGCTGAAACTAAACGACAGATGGTGCGTCACTGATACTCTGAGCATGAGGTTATTCCGATCGCCACGATTAGGAATGCGGTATAGCGCGCCGGTCGTTCACTTCGCACGCTTTGCATACTCTTCATGAGTCCGACGACGGCATCTATTACGGAGAAGAGGACATCAAAACCAGTGCCGGGACCATGTTTGCCGGGGGGGCGGGTACATATTCACCTTCAACATAACGCGCATTTGGTCGGAACTCAATGTCAAACAGACACCACAGTTACGGCACTTTCCACGTTCTTCATGGCCATGCTCGTCAACCCGAATGCGCAGCGAAAAGCTCAAACGGAAATTGATGCTGTCACCGGCGGGAAATATCTTCCTGACTTCGACGATGAGGCAGCTATGCCGTACGTTTCCGCACTTGTCAAGGAGGTCCTCCGGTGGAAAAATGTGACACCCATGGGTATGTCTTTTATTCAGATACCCTCTCCTAGTCACGACTTTGTCTCTCCAGGGGTCCCGCACTTCCTAGCAACAGAGGATGAATATCGCGGATATAGAGTGCCTGCAGGCTCAGTAGTAATTGGAAACACCTGGTTAGCTATCCAGAGTTCTCATTTATTATTTTTTATAACTTTGTCCACCTTCAGGGCGATTCTGCACGATGAAGTAATTTAACCTGTCCTTCCTTCATAATTTCTGTTTTAGTTCAGCATGGTTCTTCAATAGGTCATGTATCCCGATCCATATGCCTTCAAACCCGAGCGTTTCCTGCTCGACGGGAAGCCCAATCCAGCCGTGAAGGACCCCGACTGCGCGGCGTTCGGATTCGGCCGGAGGTACAGTTTTTCTATCCTGGGAGGACCTTCTTTTTTGAGTCTTAACATTGACACAGAATCTGTCCTGGGAGACACATGGCGCGGTCGTCAATCTGGTGCACGGTGGTGTCTATTCTCGCGACGTTCACTATCGACAAGGCTGAAGACGAAGCGGGCCGCACCATTGAGCCCACGTTCGAGTATTCTTCCGCCATAGTAAGGTGATTGAATTCAACGCCGCGCCGCTATGGTTCTTACTCACCGGTTCGCAGTGCACCGCTCCCTTTCAAGTGCTCCATAACCCCGCGGTCGAAGGAGGCCGTAGCACTTATCCGAGGCGTAGTGCACTGAATGAGCATTGCGATGGATTTCGAACCTGAAGAATGATGGTGTAGGATAT